GCCAAGCTTAATTATGGAACTGAGAAGCTGAGATGAGGAGGCCCCCAGCTGTTTAGGTTGTCGGAAACTTAGATGTTCAGGGTCTGCCTGTGTGTTCAGGTAGCCCTTATTACAGCAACCCATAAACTTATGCTTGATGATGCTTAGCTATTTTCTTTCCCTCCACAGGTACAGAATCACAATTTTGATTCCTTAAACCTAATTATTTAGCTTTAATGGCATCAGGCCAAAACAAAATTGCAGTCATTTTATTTCTTAGAGGAAAGGTTTAGTAGTTGGTATGGACCACCTTGTCTTATTTTTTTTGTGATTACATTTACACGCCGGTAGTATGAATCATTCTATAAATCCAAGGAATCCAGCATATTAGTTCTAACACTGGACAGCCCAAATCACCTTGCTCTCACTCCAACAGAGTCAAACTATTTAAGCCAGGGGTCTATTTGGTCCTGAGGTTTAATGGGGACATTAGGAGGTTGGGGCTTTTAAACTTAGAGTAATTTAAAGAATAAAAATGAAATAAAATGCTTTTAAAATTAGCAAAAATAGTTTTGTGCAGCTTTTTTAATTACTATTGTTATTTGCTATTTACTTAAAGCAGCACCTCAGAATCCCAATTAAGGAACAGAGCCGACGTTGCTAAGATTCACAAATGTGTAGAAAAAAAATCCATAGACCAGACAATTTACAATCTAAGTTTATAATGTGGTTCAAAAAGATAGGGAGTGGAATGTGAGGGTGGGAGAGGTATGTGGTATTCTTTCTTGTTTTCTTTAATGTTCCACATGAACGTCTCCTTTTTTTATAAATACCCAAATTCAACAGCATTTTGTTAGTGCATGAGACCAGAGAATGAAACTGTGATTGTAAAAAAAGTGAAACAGAGCAACGCAAGTCACTATCATAGGTTTAAAGCATCTAAACAGCCAACATAAATTATGGAAAGGGAATTAACAGGTCTGCCTCACAACTCTATAGCCTTGTAGAGTTCTTTTAAGGATACTTGAATGCTAAAGCAGCCTGGGAACTTGGCTTCCCTTACTGTAGATTGATGTGCTTTGGATTGGTTTTCAGCCTTGGAGTGATTTTCTCCTGATGTTCTGTGTGTGGTTTGGGGATATGATGCAGGGAGGATAAGAAAGGTACTTGGAATGAGAGTTAACTAGAGGGACAAAGTAAGAGCAACTTTGCACCTATGCTAACAGAATTGACGAAAGAATATGCAGTGAACAACTGGCTGTGACCGAAGGTATAATGTTTTCACTTTGAATCTTTCACTAACTTTAATGGGAAGAGAGAAACCTTAAACAATTCACATGTATCCTTCTGGCAATTAGAAAAAAATATATATAGAAGTGATTAAAAATTAAATCTTATGGGGTGACTTAAATCTTGATTGATTAATTACATTACATAAACCTGCTAGCTAAAATAAGATCCCTAAAAACATCCCAAACTTATACGTGTTAGTGCAGATTTCCTGGAGAACTAAATTGGTTACACATGCGAATTTCTGCCTAATATTCTATAGGTAATTTCATTAAAAACTTACTTGCCTTTTTTCCAAGGTAAATATATGCATCCTGCAGTATAAGCCTTTTGTGAATCTCCGCATGTACCTACTTGTACCATTTCAGTATTTTTCCAGTCTCCACCTTTAAGACACAGTTTAGCAATTCTCCCCTGCACAAGGACAGGAACATTGTGAAAAATAAAGTGAAATACAGTCTCCTAGCAGTAACAACTGCTCTTCCCAAAATGGGTTGGGTCCGATGTTCGTTCAAGGATAACGCACTAATCAGTCTCTCTAAGCTATAATGGTGGTATCTGACTTTCTGGTGGGCTTCCGGTATCCCAGCTGGCAGCTCTTGCTTTATGTCAGGGTCATCTGTATTGTCAGTCTGAAGTTTCATCAGATCTTATTTCCTCCTTGCCAAGACTGTGTCTCATTTTCCTCTCCCTTGACTGTGAGTTTAGGCTTTTGTATCACCCAGAGAACAAAGGCTTTGTGCAGTTCCAAGAAAGACCCAAGTTTTCTTAGTGTGGTAGTAATACAAACTTCACAGCTACTCCATGGAGCATTTTTTGAGAACATTGTAAAGCACACTGGCCAAATGCTGAGTGGGAGAGAGAAGGAAGAATCAGATGGGAAAATAGTAAATCGTTAATTAAAAACAAAAACCAAACTGATAATTGAATTCCATTGTACTTTTTCATTACGGTGCTTGTGGGGCACACAGGCACAATGCACAATTGCTCAGTGGCTTCCCTTAATGTATATTATTGTTCTAAGTAAATATAGGACAAAAAAAAGAAGGAAATGGAACAGGGAGGTTCAGGCAATAAGTATATTATCAGACCAATGCCTGAAAGTTCTTCTTTGGTTTAGGGGCATTTTCTTTCAATAACTATCTTGGTTTGTTTGTTTGTCTGTTTGTTAAGCTTAAAACTTAGCAAATAATTCCTTAACCGGGGAAAAAAAGATAAGGTCACTAGCATAAAATTCCTATTACATTGGACTTCCAATTGTGTACATTGAAGTCTAAATACCAAATAAATTGTAAGCTTTGATGTCAGGTGCTCTCATCCTTTTTTGGGGGGGGGGGGAGAGTGGGGGTGAAGGGGAGAGTCACACATTAGGTAAAAATGTTAATAAAAATGAACATGGCAGGAAAGCAGCATATTTGTGGCTGCCCTACTGTATTATGTTAAATGGAACTGTTTAATAGCTATGTCTGCAAAGAAGCTGTTAGGCTATAAACATGCTGGTTCTAATACTGTATTTACTTTAACATAAGACATCTCTGAATATAAGACTATCCCTCCCAGTAATAAAATTCTATATATGGAAAATGTATAAACTTGTTAAAATTTGCTAGAATCTAAGTATTAGAGGGTTGTCTTGAATTCCACCCCTTCCCCAGCCCTGCTACAGCAAGGAACGCAGTGGCTGGGAGCGGGGCAGGTCACCTCCTTGCCCTCTACCCCATCCACTTCTTTCACCTACATCCTTCCTGCCACCTGACCCCCCCCCCCATTCCCAGCTCCCAATAGCCTTTTGCCCCTCCTCTTCCTCCCCTCAGTCTCTCCCTCTTCCCCTCCTGCTCTCTCCAGTCTCTGCCCCTTCCAATCCCCAACTTCCCAGTCTCTGCCTCTGTCTCCCTTACTGGCAGACACTGCTCAGACTGCTTTATCCCAGAATACAGAATGTGAAAGCTTATCTTTTTGCAGGCCACGTAGCAGTGCCCTGATTAGCTGGACAGGGGAAGGGGCTTCTGGGTGCTTGGTGCCTGGGGGAGACCCCAGTGCAAACCCAACTAGAAGTGAGCTGTGCCTGAGAGTCATGGGGGGGGGCAGCAGGCAGGCTGTGGGTCTGACTCTCACCCGGAACTATGCTTAGGGCTTGAGTCAGAGCTGCAGCAGCTGTATGCTTCCCCCTCTACTTCATATGTGAAAATAAGACAAGGAGCCTTTTTCCTCATGCTGATGGTAGGGGTAACTTCATTTCATATTCAATTAAATACGGTGTTATTGAATCTTACAGGCAACCCCAGTGTCAGCCTTATCACCTCCAGGGGAGATAACAAGGGAGCGAGTAGTGGTTGTAGCCTCTCTGCATAAGGCATGCCCCTGGGGTAATTCTTAGGAAGATGTAAGACAGAGCTTTCTGAAGAGCCTAAGGAGCTAAGTGTCCAGGCCCCATTCTGAAAGGCACTTCGGCACCTTGAGATGTTAACAGGTTTCTGAAGAGATTTTCTGAAGTTCCTGTATCTATTGAAAATTGGGAAGTAGATGCTGAAACACTTTTTTGAAAATCAAATATTTACTTATTTAGGGTTCATTTGAAAATCGAATGATTACTTCCAGGTATATTTTAGGTCTGAAACTGAAGAGTCAGAGAGAGCTCTCTATAGCAGTGGTCTTCAAAGTGGGGTGCGCAAGACAATCCATCGGGGTGCAGGAAGAAAATATTAGAACTTATTTCTATTTCCATTTATATAAATATGCATATATTGGGGGTGCATGCCCCAAAATTTTTTACTGATGGGGTGCGCGATCAAAAAAGTTTGGATGCCACTGCTCGAGAGCACTCCCTAGGAGAGGACTGGGCACGTTCCCCAACACACAGGAAAGAAGGACCAGAAGAACCGGACACAGTTTAATTACAACTTTATGAACCTGACTTTTCTGGAAATAGCTAGTGATAACCCATATGGTGCAAGTCATGAGTCCAGCCTTAATCACTTCCACCTGGAAGAGGGCTGCTGTGAGCTCCCTTGCCTTTCAGAGTTAAGGGAATGGTTATTATCTCTTGCTACACAAAATAGTATTCCCATAGCTCTCCTAAGGGAAGACTTTCCTTAATCCATTCCTAGTTCTGGTTTATTGGGAAATGAGCACATTTGCTAGACACTGGACCCCTGGCAGCTGCAACCTTTCCTCCCAAGTTCACCTTCTGACTTGCTGTAGGGAAAGTGAAAAACCTATTTTACATGAACAAATCAAGCAGAGAGATTTCCTGGAATCAAATTCCTTCCTAAATGCTCCCCTCCCCCAACCAAAAACCCATGGTTCTGTCCTAATCCCAGGGCTGGGAGGTGGGGAAATAATCTGGGTGAGAGCAGGACACAGACTGGAAAGACAGAGTTCATATTCTTTTCCTAGAGATGGCAAATGAGGTCAATTGCTTGATGAAGCCCCTTTAGCACAGGTGTTGCTTTCCCTTCCCAATTCCCAAGGGAGGGAAAAATCATAAAGAAGGTACTACCTTTTTTTTCTGTAGATAAAAAAGCCTTCTTCACAGTACTTTGAGGCTGAAGGGATAGCATTTCTTTAAATACCATTGATTTAAAGGAAGCAAAGATGAAAGGAATACAGATGTGGTGTCTGTTGGTGGCAGGAGTGCAATCAGTTAGAGGAATCTGGGAGAGTTTGATAGAGTGGGAGGTTGTTTATAGATATTAATGAAGTCTTCTCTGTGTGTATGTGTTTTCTTTTAGGTTATGGTTTTGTAGATTTTGACAGTCCAGCAGCAGCACAGAAAGCAGTAGCATCTCTTAAGGCAAATGGTGTGCAGGCCCAGATGGCAAAGGTAAGAGCAATGAATGCCACTTATTTCTCCCTTCCAACATTCCTTCCTCATGTTTTTATGATATGTGAACTGTGTAATAAAAATGTCAAAGGTCAGTCTCTTCTTTTTCTTTTTCTTTTAATGGTCCCTTAGCTAATACACATCTCACCTGTTTACTCTGATTATTTGTCTGTTGGCTCATCAATGTTTTAGAAAATTGCTATTTGAGGGCTCTGGTGTGATGTTCTCTATAGTTTGTTGCGTTCCCTTCCTCTGACTTTGAACACTTTACAGGAAGGCTACTTAAGTTTATTACAGTCAGAAAGATATCTTCTTCTTTGGTCTTCTGTCAGAGTAACTTTCTATGCCTTTGAATATTCTTCATGATTTAGTTGCCTTGTAGGTTTGTTTGAAGAAGTGAATTGTTTGAAGAAGCAAAGTTTGTTGCTTCTGCATCTTTATTTTAAAGATAGAAATGGAAATCTCAGTTTGCCTAAAAGGATATATTAGCAAGTAGTATATCTGAAGAATTTTGGATGCAGCCTTGAGAGGCTCTCAGAAACTCGTAGGGAAGTTACCTGCTTTAAGCAGTAGCCTGAAAGGACTGCGAGATTGGATCAAATACTGCATTTAGTGATTTGTCCAGTGGTAACCTGGACAGGGGGTTTTCCACAACTGTTAGAGTAAGAGATTTGTCTGTTTTTCAATGTTACTTAGTCTGTATGAATAAGAATGTATTTCTGTTTTCTGAGAATTTGTACTAGATAGGCCAGTAAATGTGCAAGTTTTGTACTGCCCCCAGAGTGCCCTTGTACCCCCATTTCTACTCACCATTACTTCCACTTCTATCCCACTCCTGCTTACTAGTCACAGCTACTATGTAGGGCTCCTGGCATCCTAAATGCTACCAATAAAACCCCAAACAACAGCAGCAGGCATAAAATATCTCTCTAAAAATGAGATGTGAATTTTAAATATTTCTCTTTAAAGAATTCCAATGGATTCAAACCTTAAACTAAACTGAAAAAAAAATCCATGTGGACATACGAGGTTTGTATGCACGCTACTAAATGCCTTAAAGTGCTGTTAGGTTCCTTGTCATCCTTAGTACGTCGTGTTTTGCAATGTGAGTTATGCTGTTATATTGGCTCTTGGTTTTTATTGATGTGGCAATAAAAATATTTGCTTCAAATAGGGAGAAAAATGGAATGCTGAAGAAGTTGAATACCTACTAAGAATCATTTTATTTCCCTGATTTATTGGCCCTTTTTGAATATAGTAACTCTGAGATATTTGTCAAACTCTGAAAAGAAACTAGAGGTATGTTCTCTGCCAAAGGTTGATCCTGAATAGCTGTTTCTGGGGGGATAATCTGTAATTAATGCATACCTGGTATCTTGTGGAAGTAGCAATCAACTTGCCTAATGAGGAAGGAAAGCAGAACTTTACTGCTGAAAATAGCAAAGGTAAGATGTCCTTAAAATGCAGACTATCAGTTCAGAGTTATACAACCCTAAATTCCTTTGGAGCACTGTGCAAAGCCAAGGGATTTGGGGTTGCAGGGGCTCTGCTAAAGGCTAGATTGGTGTTCTGGGAGATCTGTGGCTGGTGTGGAATTTCCCCTTTCCTAATTTTTGAGGCGGTTACTGCATACATTTATCGTTTTTATTAGGCTGATTTATATGTTTAATATTTAGCTAACTTGCTTAGAGTCCTCAATAAGTCATTTTCAGTGATATGTAGGGTTCAAAATAAATACATGCCTGGATCTTTCTATCACTGGAAAAATCAGCATCTTTAGAAAAATGAGATTCAAAGGAAAGTAAGCTGACTTCATGCAAAGTGGTGCATTATATTACTGGGAAATCAGGAGCCTGGGAAAGCAACCACGTTAGTGCTTGCAGATGTTGAAGCCAAGTTGCATAACAGATTGAAAGACAACACTATCTGCCAGTCTCTGTATTAACATTTAAGGATCAGAAGACATTTGAACAAAGATTCAGGAGAAGAATTTAACATCCAACAGTGGAAGCAGCAACCAAGGAAACCTGGCCTTGACTTTCATTGAAGAGTGGGCAATGAACCTTAAATTATATCAGAAGGAAAAACATAATGCCAAAAAACTAATCAAAACCATTTGTGTGCCGTATTTATTTCTTTACTCACTTTCAAAAAACGAAATACAGTATCACATTAAGATAAACCTTGCTCCCACTTACGTCCCACCCACTCTCTATTTTGAAGGAGTAAGTAGGAATTTCAGTAAGTGAGTTTATTCTTACCAAGAGTAAAATCTTACTCAGAAAGAGAAGCTCACATTCTCTCTCGTAGTCTTAATATTATACAGAAATCCAGCAAATTTTATTTGGAGAAGAAAAAGCAGATTTTGTGGGATTGGACCATCCATATTGTCTGATAGAAATATCTTTTGAATAGCTAAATCAAAGAGTATAACTTTCTGACTTACTGACACTTAAACAGAGCCACTTCCTTCATGTTATAATATTTAGTCACCTCTTTGGCTAATTTTGTTTAACGTGCTGCTGCTGAAAAGTGTCTGACACAAATGGATCAAATGTTAATGGATCAGTGTTCTGTTGCTAACAGAAAACTTGTTCTGAAAAGCTGACCCAGCAAAGAACCATTTCTACATTTTTAAAAAACTGAAGAAATGAGAGAGAAGAAGGAAGATCCAGGAATTACAGGCCAGTAAGTCTTATCTCAAAACCTGCAAAAATCATGGAGCAGGTCCTTGAGGAATCTATTTCAAAGCACCTAGAGAAGAAGCTGATCAATAACAGCCAGCATAGATTTACCCAGAGCAAGTCATGCCTGACCACCTATTTCCTCCTATGATAAGGTGACAGGTTCTGTAGATGAAGGAAGAGCAATGCTCTACAGCAATTGACTTTTTAGCAAGGTTTTTGATGGTATCTCCCATGACATTCTGCAGCATAGATACAGAACTGGTTGGAGCACTGAACATTGTGCTCAATGTGTGGTCATCAGTGACTCAATGTCTAGTTGGGAAGAGGTATCAGGAGGAGCTCTCCAGGGGGTCTGTCCTGGGTCTGCTATTGTTTTAGCATCTTCATTCATGATTTGCCTAGCAAATTTATAGGTTAAAACAAGTTGGCTGGGGTTGCAGACACTCTGGAGGTGAGGGCTAGGATACACTGGAGAAATGGTCTGGAATCAAGCAGATAAAATTCAACACAAGTGCAAAGTCTTGCACTTGGTATGGAATAATTGTGTGCACAAATACAGACTGGGAATAAGTGGCTAGGCTGTGGTACTGTAGAGCAGGACTGATCTGTTCTTGTTAGCAAAAAAATAAAAATAAAAAAAAAATCAACAGCATACTATTGATTAACAGGGGTCACTTGCAAATCAAGGTAAGTGTTTCTTCCACTCTGTTCAGAACTGGTGAGGCCTCACCAGAGTGCCCTGTCCAGTTTTGGGCCCCATACTTCGCAGAGGATGTGGACATGTTAGAAGTCTAGCACAGAGTCACACAAATGATTAGAGGTCTGGAAAGCATGACTTATGAGGAAAGGATAAAAGAATGATGACTATTCAGTCTGAACAAGAGAAAGCTGTGGGAGGAATGATAACTGTCTTCAAATACCTGAAGGGTGATTACAGAGAGGAAGGCCGTTCGACTTTGTCTGGGTATAAGGGACAAAGCTAGGAGCAGTGGCCTCAAACTTCAGTATAGGAAATTCAGGTTGGCAATTAGAACTTTCTAACTGTGTGGGTGGTCAAGCATTGAAGCATGCTACCTAGAAAAGTTGTAAAATCTCCATTCTTGGAAATTTTCAAGGGTGGGTTAACTAGACACATGGCTGGGATGTTTTAGTCAGAGATGATTTTGCCTTGTGTAAGGGGCTGGACTAGGTAGCTTTGATAGCGCCCTACCTTCCAGCCCTACTTTCCTCTGATTCTATGAATATTCTTAACTCTGTTTTTATTTCTCATTTTTGTTCTCTTTCGGTGAAATTTATCTTGGTGCGGAGGAGTGATTTGGAATTTTTCTTTGCTATACAAAGGATTGCAATAAAGGAGGTACCGATGTGCAGGAGCACATCACACTTACAAGGGGCAAGGCCAGGTTGATGAGGGTAGGAACTTTCAGTACCCTGTGCTCTTCATGCTTTCCTAGGGGAAAACCAGATTCCTCATATTACCATTATTCTAACTCTTTGCCGTGCTTGCTGTGTTTTGCCTGATACCTCAATGTTGTGTAGAGTGATATTGCTCTGAAATTATTCTAATTTTTTTTCAGATGTGATCCATTTTAGTTATTGAGGCAGATTACAACACATGCTATTGTCTATTTATTAATAAATATATTAGTGAATCATGGAATACCTAGGCATCCCACTGGCAGACCAGAGACCTCACTGTGCCAGGGGACTACAGAATACAGTACAGGAAAAATGGTTTCTATTCAAAAGCTTACACGTGCTTTTTTGCATGTATTTTCTATGGAAATGTTTCACAAACAAAACAGCCCTGACAATAAGCATATTTTTGCTGATACACAAGAGGCTGTGTTTAAAAAGTACATGGAAATCTTATTGTCATCCTAATAATGTCTCCAGTCAGATTTAGTTTTTGGCATTGGGAATACCCCTCTCCCTAATTACATGTAAATAATTGGATTCATTTAGTTTGGTGCATACATTTAAGAGATTATGTCTCTGATCCTACAGTGGATGGCATTGAAGAAAGCTGCTGTGTTTAGAGAACAGAGCTCTATTCAGGTCACTGGTGTTCTATGTGGGTGTAGCATTTCCTCTGCCTTCTTCAAATGCAGGATCAGGTCTGATAGAAGAATAAATAACAGATGTGTGCAGTGCATAGATATGGGAGTGGTAGGTTCCAAAATATATAAAACTTGATGCGATGAGTTTCTAGAACATTTAAAATACCTGATTTGCCAAGGAAACATGTTTTGCTTATAACCACTGTGCCTAACACATTTATGCAGACCCTGGTATTTAAGTGAGAATAATCCT